ATGCTGCTTGGCCTGCTGTGCTCATCCAGCTCTACACCTTGTTATCTTAAATTTAGAGCTAGGTCAATTGGAAGAAAAATTAGAGGCACTTTTTCACATAAACAGCAGTGAAAATATGGAAATCTCCTTCAAAAGCCTGTCGATGCTGGAATACTGGGGGAAGAAGGGAGTTAATTGGATTTTACAAGGCTGAATCGGCCACTGTTTGGTAAGGGAATCACAGTATTGTGGAGCAAAAGCGGGTCAATAGAGTTGAGGAAAGTATTTAGTGTGGTCGCTGGGTTAAAATCCTGGAACCCCCTTCCTAAAACTTTGCAGATCTCCTGACACCCCAAGGACTGCAGCAGTTCAAGGAGGTGGCTCACTACCACTTTTTCCAGGGTAATATGGGATGAGCGATAAATGCTGGCCCATCCAGGTACACCCATATCCCACAAATGAATTCTTAGCAATTGCAGAATGTGGCGAAAAGGGTTGAATGTTCCTTTATTGCTATGAGAGGGACTGACTTGGCCATGATTCCATCCAGGATGAGATTGTTCCCTGTTTCCTACTGTTCCGTTCCAGACATGAAGCATGCCGGTGGGGATATTTAACATAGAGTCTTCATCCACCTGCCAGATCTTCCACTGTCTGTTTCTCCATGGAATCATTTCCCTCAGCAACCCTGTCCCACATTTAAGATGTTCACATGCTCAGTCATTCAGTTTTATCCGTTGAAACAAACGTTTGTCAAAACTCAAAGGTTTTTGGAAAGGATTTTGCTATAGTTTATGGGGAGACTGTGGTATTCAGTCTGCCAATGATCCACATCCCCATTCCGTAAAATGACAGGTAGATATGCTCACGCTTAACTGGGTGGTACACACAGCTTTTCTCCAAGCGTGTATCCACACTTATACCTGGTCCACTTCTTCACCTTTGAAGTTTAAATGTCATTTCGCCCTGGTAGTATAACAAGAACAAAAAGCTTTCAACCATCATCTTAACTAAAAGAAACTGTAAGAATTGTGGATGCTGTAAATCAGAAACAAAAACAGAAATTGCCAGAAAACCTGAGCAGGTCTGGCAGCACCTGTGGAGGGAAATCAGAGTTAATGTTTCCGGCCCGGTGACTCATTATGAAACGTTAACTCTGATTTCTCTCCACGGATGCTGCCAAATCTACTGAGCATTTCCAGCAATTTCTGTTTCTGGACCTTCATTAAAACACTTGGTGAATTGGGAAGTGGGACATTGCAGGCGGATCCTGAAACAGAAAGGATACTGAAACATTGGCTTGAAGTCTTGCAAGAATAGGGTTGCAGTAAGAACTACTTTCAGCGAGTATTCCGCTGTGGATAGTGCCAGAGGCTCATAGTTTGACACCAAGATTCTGCTAAATGTCCTTTTCATAAAGAGACGTCTGAATCAAGGCCAGGATTACCTTCTGTAAGACGATCTGATGGCTTGAAGTCGGGACAAGGCAAGACATAATAGTTAAGTGATGCCAGGCTGAGATTTTAACTGCCTGTGGATGTTAGGGGGAGAACAGCAATGAGGTGAAGAGAAATAGGGTGAAAAACTGGGTGTTCATCCTTCTTTATTGTCATATGAGCTTGTGTGTTTTTGTGCAGCCACAGACCATGGAGCTCATTTATCAGAGAAAGAGGAGGCAATAGATGTCAAAAGAAGGGAAACCTAACCTATACAATTAGAACTTCTACCGCCTGACCAGGAGTAGTATTGAAAAGAGTGAGATTAAAAAAAAGTTAAAGATCAGAACACTGCTTCCAAATGAAGGAGGGATAATATTAAGTTAGAATAAAATAAAAGAAACAGGTAGCTGATTCCAAATCCTATCAATTCTGCTTTACAATGAATCACTGGGCAGTTCCATCCAGGTCAGTTCCTGTGCTGTTTCTCCTTTCCTGACAATGCAAAAAAAGCAATTGGGTGTGCATCCACTTACTGTTAGAAAATAGGGAATTCATCACGGTCAGGATTCATCCACAGGGATTAGGGCCTTTCAGCATTGGGATTATTCCATAATTTCAACTCCTTGTGGGAAACTGAAATTGCAATAATTGCAGGCAAAGAGTTATCCCTCTAGGTGGTAATTCCCTGGTGAGCTACTTTTAGCATGATGGTTCTTGTATCAGTTAATATGGCTTAAAACAGTAGACTGAAGAGATTGATGTGAAGGGATTTGTCATGTGAAATAAATCTTAAAGCAAAGGGTTTCTAATTTAATATTTATTTATGGGACGTAGGCAGCGCTGACTAGGGCAGCATTAATTACCCACCTCAAGGCAAATTTGACCACACAGCAATAGGCTCATTCAATGTGCCTTTGTAACTTACTTAGCCTCTGCTCTTCAGCTTTGGTGGGGACTTACGAAACAGGACTGTCATGGATAGAGTGGAAAGTATGAGGCTTTTTCCCAGGGTGGAGGGTTCAATTATTAGAGGACACGGGTTCAAGGTGAGGTGGGGGAGTTTAAAATAGATGTGCGAGGCAAGTTTTTCACAAAAGGGGTGGTGAGTGCCTGGAGATCGCTGCCAGAGGTGGTGGTGGAAGCAGACACAATAAGTAGCATTTAAGAAACACATAGACAAATACACGAATACGAAGGGAATAGAGGGGTATAGATCCTGTAAATGAAGACAGTTTTAGTATGGAACGGCAAAATGTGTCGGCACAGGCTTGGAGGGACGAAGGGCCTGTTCCTGTGCTGTTTTGTTCTTTGTCCTTTCTTTTGATCTTTGACCCTGGCATTTTTTAATCAAATGAAAGAAGAAGAGTAGGGGTAAATCTGACTTTGCACAAGGTTAAAATAGTGCTGCATGTAACTTGAAAGTCCATTGACATTCTTGGTCAATGTATCTCAATCGTATTGATTAAAATCACTAAAAGAAAGACCCCATTCCCCTGACAGAGAAGTAACCTGAAGTTCTGTTTAGCACAATGTCTAATCTTGTTCCTTGTGGATCTAAATTTTCTTTATTTTGATCCAAGGAAAAACACTTAATAATCTCTCACCTTCGTTTCCCCTCCCACTCTCGCTGACTCTATATATAGATATATTTAAAGCAATGTTAAACAATTAAATTTAATCTTTGAAATATAGCATTCTTAAATTACACCCTGTAAATATGTAGAATACTTTTTTTGCATTTTTTTTTCTTGTTTCTCCATTGTGGCAATATTTCTAAAAATACAAAAGCTGGTGTTCAGGAAACAGTCACCTCATGGAAACAACTGGCTTCTGTCATCAGGGGATGAAGTCACCAAGGAAGTAGTCAAAAAAGGAAACTCAAAGTTGACCTCTACATGGACCTTTCCCTTAATGGTGAAATCAGTCTGGAAGTGGTAAGACCCAGAGTTCATAAGAACCAAAAACATTTCCTCTTAGACTTTTTTGGTTCAGTCCTGGCAGGTTGCCGTGGTATTGGCGATTCTTCCTGCTTGTTAGGTGTGCCAGGTTGCTCTGAACTTTGACCTGTGTCTGTTTCCATGGAGCTCAGGACCCTATGAAATCTGACTTCCTGCTGCCTGAAATCATGTTCCACACTGTAAACAAAAGAAGAATAAAAGGAAGTTATTTTGTCTATACAGTAATTTTCTCCAATTTCTCTGCAGCTCAGAAGGTTGGCATGTTTCCATGGACTCTAATGGCTCTCTCCACACAGTCATGGAATCTTACAGCACTTAAGGAAGCTGCTTGGCCCATTGTGCTATCAAATCAAATCCTACTCTGCCAGTCTTTACCCAGTGCTCTTAAGTTTTTCCTTTTAGTATTTATAAAATTCCATTTGAAAAGTTCCCATTGAATCTATCCCCATCGCTATATTGGGCAGTGCATTCCTGATCATAGCTCACTATACAAATCTCCTCACTGTCCATCCTCCCCACTCCCACTTTTTAAAATAATTATCTTAAATCTGTGTCCCCTGGCCACTGACCCTCTGGTCACAGGCAACACTTTCTTCATGTCTGCTTTGCCAACTTAGGCCATTCAGCCCATTGAGTCTGCTCCAGCATTTAATGAGATCATGGCTGATCTGATAATCCTTTACTCCACTTTCCTGCCTTTTTCTCACAACTCTTGATTCCCTTACTGATTGAAAATCTCTTGGTACCATTCCAGCGATTTTCTCTGCACCCTAAGTTCTTGACTACCTTCCAAAATGTTGCTGCTGAGGTAGGAATTCAGAAAGATTGGGGAAGAGTAAAATCACAGTTGTCCTACCTGACCATAGAGAGGCACCCTCATTAGAGAGAGGTTATGGTTTAACGTGAGGGTTGTCATGCACCAGGGGAAAGGAGAGGTTGAGAAGTGTCCCAGCAAACCATTAAGTTTTATCAAAGCAGCTACAAAGAATGGACTAGGGCACTTCAAGAAGGCAGCCCACTACCATCTTTTCAGGACAACAGAAAGCTTGTCAACCAAGCTCAAATCCTGAAAACAAATTCTTGAAACAAATTATCACTCTTCTTATTATGTTATCTGCATGCAACAATGATTCTTTTTTATTCAATAAATCAGACTGCTGTCACAACATATTTCAAGCGACAAGTTTTTGCTTGTAAAATGCAGAATTGCACTTTAAGCACAGCACATCTGAAGGAGTTTGCAGCTTTTCGCTGCATGAGATATCAGTGTGTGTTCCTTTTAAAGGGATATCAAGATACAAGATCTGCGATGTAATTGGAAAGTGTATCAAGAAGTTGTTTCAGTTGAATCGATATTAAATGGAATATGAGATGGATCTTTTCAGACGCCAAGAAATGGAGACTGCCTTTCATACATTGTCACTTTCATCACTCTCTTGCCTTTACAATTGCTTCAGTTCAGCTTTAGCTGGTCCTTTCAGAACAAGTCAGAATGAATGATATACTTTGTACCATTTTCACAATCCCAAAATGTTTAAGGTCATGAATCATAGGATTGCAGGTTCTTGAAGGGCAGGTGGGTTTCCAGGATTGTAAACTCTCAGGTAGAATGGGAAAATCCTGATTTCAGTTTCCCAGTCTATGCTGAGTCAATTCTGAATAATTTTGTCACACCTCACACAGAGATTTCTACATATGGAATTCACGGAATACAGGACTTTCCAAAATCCACCCTCTCCTTCAATTTGCAAAATCTTTTTCTCCAAGTTGAATCCCTAAACAGTGACTTTTTTTTTCAAAACTACGTTAGTGGTTGTGGGGTTCAGTTAGCTTATTTGTCTGGATTGCTGCTTGTGATGCTATGTAACACCAACAGCGCAGGTTCAGTTACTGCACTGGCCATAGTGATTGGGACCAGGTGGATCTCATTGACTACGAGATCCCTGATTGGGGTTGTTAACATGGGCCAATCAGAAAAGCCCTGGATGACCACAATAAACAGGAGCTTCTGAATCTCCTCAGTTCAGGGGACTGACTCTGAGCTGGCTTGCTGTGCACTTGTAAATAAAGGGTAACTTGGTGACACGACACCAGCCTCTATGCAATTATTTCAGTGATGTTCCCCCTTGCCTGAGATGTGGTGACCCCTAGGCTAAACCATCACCAATTGTCCCTCTCTAATGAAAAAGCAGTCCTCTGGGATAATAGCAACTTCACTGGTTGTAAAGTACTTTCAGATGTCCTGAAGTTGGAAAAGGCTTTGTACAAATGCACATTCTAGTTTCGTCATAGAGATAGTAGGGACTGCCAATGCTGGAGAATCTGAGATAACAAGGTGTAGAGTTGGATGAACGCAGCAGGCCAAGCAGCATCAGAGGAGCAAGAAAGCTGACGTTTCGGGTCTGGACCCTTTTTCAGAAAATTTTCTGAAGAAGGGTCAAGATCCGAAACATCAACTTTCCTGCTCCTCTGATGCTGCTTGGCCTGCTGTGGTCATTCCAACTCTACACCTTGTTATCTTAGTTTCTGTCATGTTATGTTTCACCTATCCCAATTTAAACATGGGTGAACGTCTATCCTAATCACTGGAGTCACATTATGAACAACTGTCATAATCCCACTCCACTGCTGCCTTGAATCCCACTGTGACTTATCCCAGTATTGTACATAACCAATTTCCTGGAATTCCAACATGATGGATTTGGCATCCCGAGCTCAATTGGAAAGCTTTTGTTTTATTCATCAGTTACAGAAGGTGCGAATTGCTGATGTGGCCCACACTGGTCCAGAATTGTGCATAAAATGGCGGCCAGTCTCATTCTTAGTCTGCTACAATTCCTTATGATAAAGATGCTTCATCAGTGCTGGCCTCACTGTTTCACATGAAACACTGTTGTTTTCATTTGCAGTCAAAGTGCCACAGTCAGAAACGTCAAGGAAGTGTTGACTGTGGTTTCCATCAGATATTCCATGGGAAAACGTAGCTCTCATTTCACTTACCACAGTGTTTGCTCACCTGCCTACGTGGGACCTCCTACACCAATGATTATTGGCATGTTTCAATACTAATGTTGGTATAAAGTGGTCATTTCCAACCCCTCCACCCATAAATGTCAATAAATAAATCTTTGTAAATTTCTGAAGCAAGAGAATAAAAACTCAACTGCATATGATGCACAGCTTATTAAAAGCTGATTCCTGTATTCTCTGAGCCGTGTAGATTTTGCATGCCTCGCAGCCAAAATCTCTGGAACCTGTGTAATCTCATTTATTTTTATGTGCAATAAAGTGGAAAATAGCTGGAACATTATTTGAAAGAGCTGATAGACGAGGTTAGATGTTATTAAAAGAAATTAAAAATTGATTTCTGCCAAATGTGCAGGCAGTAGCGATTTCATGGAATTTTAACTTTAATATTTCTGTGATTTAATAATCCTAATATAAGAAGTTTTTTTTCCTTAAGAGAGACCAAGAAATGCCTGTTTTTTTTTTGTCTTCAATGATATGCAGGATTTATTTACAGTCAAGCCATGAATATTGCGGAGTATCTGTGGTGAGGTTCAATGGTGTCTGGTAGGGAGCATTCTGAAGGAAAAGTACAGGATGCACTGTTGCACCTCACTAATTGAAACACAATCCAAATTGATTCAAAATCCTAACAATCTTTTAATCTTTTTTCCTCCCATACCTCCTCTACTATTAACAGTCACAAATGGAGTTACTATCTCCTATCAAACTTTGACTTACCATTTCCTTAGACAATCCCCATCTCAATCCATGTCAATCTGTTGCTCTCACCAGCTAAAACTGCACCATCTTTCCTTTAGGGAGGCAAATCTGCCATCCTTACCTAGTTTGACCAATATGTGACTCCAGACCCACAGGAACATGGTTGATTCTTAACTGCCTTATAGGCAACAAATGCTGGCCTAGCCAGTGATGCCATCATCCCATGAATGTCTCAAAAAAGATGGACATGTTTACTTCACTTCTCTGTGTCCTCTTCATAACTCACTTTCCTACCTATAGTTGTCTCATCAATAAATTTAACAATTCAATTTCTGTGTCCAAGATTGATTGATTGACTGATTGACTTAGTGTTGTCACATGTACCAAGATACAGTGAAAAGTGTTGTCTTGCGTGGTCTACAGGCGGATCATACCATACAAAGTGCGTCAGGGTAGGAGAACAGAGTGCAGAATACAGTGTCAAGGCACAGAGAAGGTGCAACACTATTTTATATAAATTTATAACTTATATAACTTATATATTTATATAAATTGTTAATACCTGTGGCTTCAGCATTGGTCTCCATTCATTAAATCCTGTCAACCTGATTTGGATCCATTCTCTACTTTTCATTAACTAGCTAATCTTCTACCCATGATAATATGTTACTCCCTACACCAGAAGTTCTTATTTTACACAGTGACCTTTGATGTGGCACCTTGTCAAATGCTTGCTGGAAATATAAGTACGGTATATCCACTGGGTCCTTGTCACTTCCTCAAGGAATTCAAATAAATTAACAATTTCCCTTTCACAGAACAATGTTGACTTTGCCTCATTGTGCAGGGTTTTCTAAATGCCCCGAATTATCATCCTTAAAACAATTTCCAGCATTTCCCTATAACTGATGTTTGGATAACTGGTCTATAGTTTTCTGCTCCGTGTCATCCCCTTTCTTGAATGGGACATCACATCTGCTATTTTCCAATCTGATGGAACCTTTCCAGAATCTAGGGAGTTTTGGAAAAATTAAAATCAATGCATTTACTCTTTCAGCAGTCATTTCTCTTTTCACCTTAGGATGAAGGCCATCAGGGCCAGAAGGTTTGTCAGATTTCAGCTCCGATAATTTTCTGAGTATCCTTTCTCTGGCGATTGCTGTCTTTCATAATCTGAATTATTCACAATTATTTCTGGGATGTTACTGACCCTTCCTCGGTAAAGGCAGTCACAAAATATTTGTAGCATTCATCTGTCATTTAGTTATTTTCCATTCATGATTTCCAAGACTCTCTTGGGGAGAAATGCTCTCATTGATCACTCTTTTCCTTTTAAGTAACTGTGGAAACTCTTAGCACCTGTTTTTCTCATCCTAGCTAGCTTTCTTTCATATTCTAGTTTCTCCCTCCTTATTCATCTTTTAGTCATTCTTTGTTTCTTTTTTAAT